TGTGATAAGGGGGGGAGATTATCTGTCACTGTGATTGATGGGTGTCTTTAGCTGGTCTTTTGTGTGCAATGATCTCTGGTCCTTGTGGCTGGGTAGAGTTTGCTGACCTTTTGCAGGCTGTATTTTCCAGTACTGGGAGCCAGGCCTTACTAAGTTTTAGACTTTCCTCTTTTTTGTTGAAGCTCTGTTGGTGTTTATGGATTTCAATGGCTTCCCTTCTCATTTGAGGTGAGGTGAGAAATGTATTCTGAACAATACTAAACCCCAGGAAAAAAGCTTTAATTTCAAATGATGACAATGTTGGGAAAAAGGGATCCCTAATAGAATATAATGTAAATCACGTGAGACATTGTGATAAGGACTTTTGATTTATGACAAAAACGCTTGCAGAGAGAGAAGGAGAAAGAGAGGGAGAGGGAGAGAGAGTGAGTGATGAACTTTGGACAGAAAGTCTTAGTTAAAAATATCTCAATGAACACTCAATTTGTGTGAGCAAATTGGAGAACCTGAGATGAGAAACCAAGGATAAGGGTTAATTCCATCGACCAGGAGGAGGGAGAAGATTTGAAAAGTAAGCAAATGTGAACAGGGGTTCCAAAAAGATAACACAAGCAGGGAGATATTTCTTTTAAATGGGTTTATGAATGCATTTCCTTCTAATCCCATTGTTCGCCTGACTCTGGAGAATATATTGTGACTTATGGTTGGCAACTACAGGAGAAAAATAACGCTGGTGGTTACAGGCTTAAGCAGGAGAGAAAGCTACTTAGGGAGCTAAGGGTCCTTATCATCCACCTTGGAAATTTGAGGAGAGTGCTTCGTTTGTTGTTGTTAAATCCACTGTTCTTCTTAAGGTTCTCTGAGTGCTTGTGATAGAAAGGAAAGCTTGCCCGCAGTACACAATTCAACTACACTGCTCAACACATATAAATCAGATACAGTACTAGCGGAGGCTAACATTATCACGTTTTCTCGAGACCAAGACTCCTCACTGTTTCATCATCTTCACAGCTTGCTTGCCATTTAGGGGGCTGGGGGAAGCATCTTTTTTGGCCAAGGTGGGAAACCACAGTCTGATCTAGATAGCCCCTTGGTCTTGTCTAACAAGGCTCGTTGTCTGATCTCCCATTAACGAGTCAAGCCCTGTTTCCATTCCCACCCTTTTCAGTCCCCTAACCTCTGTTCTGAGTTGTGACCCTACTTCCATCCTTTCCTAGGAGATGCAAAACCAAGAACTGCTTCTGCAGACCCAGCCTTGTATCAGTGTCAACCATGGAAGAACAACTGTCCTGTGTGGACATCTGGGTAACGACAACTTCTCTGGACTGACTCCACTCAGCTCGGTCATTGTTCTTCTCAAGAAGGATTACAGCGGATCTTCTCCAGAATGTCACAAAGGACAACTTTGCTTGGCCAACGTGATCTTCTTCAGCTCTGGTGTGGCTTGTATTTCAGGCCTTGGTCTTTGGTTCTGACGCCTTACTTGGTAGCATCGCCTTCTACTTTGCTCTCTGAACCTGACTGGTCTTAATTCTTGCTTCCCAACATTTTTCTCATTCCAAATTCCTACCTGTATCCCGTTGATCACTTCACAATGACCACCAGCTGCCAGACATATCAAGTCTGGTCCAGTCTGCAGGTCTCCTACTGGAGTTCACTCATGGAGGTTGAAGTCCATCAATATCTGGAGATGGACACAGAGATGTCCATCTCTGTTGTAGACGGAGGACATCAAACATCAATACATGATCCGCCATCATGTCTATCAAAAAAACTAAAGTCCAGTCTTTTTCAGAGGGGAGTGATCTACCGTTAAACTCTTGCACATTTCCCTTCCATGCCAATTACTCTTCATTGATGTGCTCAACGTGGAGCACAGTGATAGGGCATTAGTAGCAGCCTTTGATCACAACGTCCCAAAGACTGGGGCTATCTTGAAGCTAGAAGACAAGTTTGTGCCACACAATACTAGAAGACTAATGGATTCGTGTTGACGTCCAATGCTGGTTTCTTGGTAGGCGGAGTTCCCTTTTGTTTTGTTGCGGGCGCTGCTGAATCTTCTAAACTAACACCAAGGTAATCCAGAGCTCCAAATTAAAAGAAAGATCAAAGTTAAATATTGATTCAGAGAGCAACGCTATTTGCGAATCTGGAACTGATCTTTTGGAGTTTTCTATTTGCATACTTTAATTAATCCAAAAAATATTAAAACTAATCTCGCAAAGGAAAGGGTCAGAGTATTAATTAGCTTGAGATTCATTGCTTTTGTGTAATTTAGAAGTTCGACACAAAGCAGGAAACTAAGTTACTGTGACAGGTGTAATTTCACGGATTAACAAAACTTCCAGCATTCTCCTTAGGTTTACCACTAACTTAAAAAATATTTTAAGTTCCCTCACTTCAATTAAAATATTCTTTTCTCCCCCAGAGGAAACTTACATTTCATTCCTTCTTTAACCTCAGTATTTCTCCATTAATGTGTTTTTTTCTTTCATGCAGCTCTAAACAGAACACGGGGTCATAACCACAGTAAATGGAAAAATCTAAACCAGAATGAAATAGCAGTCATTTTTATACACTCACCTGCATTTCCAATACAACAGAAGACGCTCTCAACAGAGTAACGTTTTCTGCATCCTCATGTCTGTAAGCAGCAAACGCTGGCCTTCTATCAGAAAAATTGCTTTTAGCTGGATCGCACATTGTATTTGTTGCAATGTTCTGAATATCTGTTAAATTTCCTTTTGCTACACAGCGGAAGTGTGGAGATTCACAGAGGATAATAGATTCATCTCCCAGATAGTCCACCCCTTTCTCATTAACTAGCACTTAAGAGTCTCAATAACTCACGCTGAGATATTAGCAGGAGAAAGAATAAAAAACGTTTCATTACTTACAGTTGTGAACGGATCAATAGTAAACTAAACAAACCTTGTTTCTAACAGACTAAAGAGAGGGAAAGGAACTATCAGCAAAGAGGCGGGACTCTCTCTGAATTCAGAGGCGGGAAGGAATGATTGGCTAGTGCTGGATAGATTGACAGTCACCCCAGCCCAGAAAGGTCCCTTCCACCCACACCTACTAGAGGCAGCCTGCAAGGTTGTAAAAACTCCAACAGTGTTTTACAGCCTTCAGCTCCAAATCCAATACTTTAAACAGAAGACTAGAAGTATATAATGGCACCCATTAGAGTAGTTAAATCACATGCTCTGCAATTTATCAGGACAGATCCAGAGCAGAGACCAAACTCTGTTATGTGCACCTTATGTCCCAAGCCATTTTGCATCAAGCCTTCTTCAACTGAAGCCAACTTCTTCTACATGTATGGAGTCATCTGGGACTCTAGTTAGTGGAACGCTGAGAATTTTATTTGACCAACATCAAACTTGGAGCAAGTTTGCTCTGGTTCAAAACCTGTTTGGTAAGATAAGAACCTCTAAACGTGTACAGAAACTCTTTCCTGAGCCACAAATGGAAACAAGGTCCTTCCCTCAAACATACCGACCCTTGTGAGCTAAAGCAGGTCAATGTTCTCATATATATCATTACCTCCTGTCTTGTCCATAGTTGACTAGAAGGAAAACACTGGGGTCAGATTTGAGACAGTTATGGAAGAAGGGGGACTAAGGAAAATCTATTTTTTTATTATTATCATTATCAACAAGGACATGTCACTCTGATGGTTGCATCCTTCTTTTCCCGAATAATCTACACCACTTTGAGACAGTAAGAAGGGGGACTAAGGAAAATCTTTTTTAATTATCATTATCAACAAGGACATGTCACTCTGATGGCTGCATCCTTCTTTTCCCGGATAATCTACACCACTGATGAGGGGAGGAGAAACCCATCCTGGTGCCAAGATGATTCTAGGCTGGTTGGATTTGCAAAGCATACAGTGATTGTTTGTTGTTCCTTTGCATAATCATTTGTCTCTCTACAGACTGGCTGCAGGCATTTTAAAGTAAGAACCAAACTAAAACGGAGTTAAATTAAAGCTGCCTTTCCCCCCATCCTTCTGGGACAAGAGAAGAGATCTTTCTATTCATCCTCCTGGTTTCGACCCTGCTAGATCAGTAGTTCTCAACCTTGGGCCCCCCAGATGTTCCTGGACTAAAACTCCCAGAAGCCTTCACCACCAGCTGTGGTGGCTAGGATTTCTGGGAGTTATAGTCCAAGAACATATGGGGAACCAAGGTTGGGAATCACAGTACTAGATGGATTAAGAAGTAATTCAAGTGCAATGTTCTGTACATATTGTTGTCTCTGGCTGAGCACGACTGAAATGAAATGGAAAAGCTGAACTCTGGGCATGAGCCATGGATTTGTGTAGCAAGGTTTCTTAAACTGGGAGGAAAAATATACCACAGAGACAGCCGGGATGAGGAGGGGATGCATTTCCCATCTTGCCTTTTTAAGGAAAAATATACCACAGAGAAAGGTGGGATAAGGAGGGGATGCATTTCCCATCTTGCCTTTAAAAGAGGAACCAGGTCTGTGTTTCTTGCTTAATTATATTGTAAACAGTCCAGACAGTGCAGTAGCTCTATGGGGAAGGATATAAGTTGAATGAATGAATGAATAAATGAATGAATGAATGAATGAATGAATGAATGAATGAATGAATGAATGAATGAATATTTTCATGCAAAAATCTCTTCCAGTGCCCAACAGCCATGGTTGACAGTAAACATAGGTGTTTTTTTTTCTGGAGCACAAACGAACAGCCACATCAATAAAGGTATTCATTCTTTGTTACGCACAGACACACACCCTCTTAAGTAGAAATGTCAACAGCAGCTATACACCGCTCAGCTTGGGTCTCTTACCTGCTCTCAGATGCCCAACAGCCATGGTTGACAGTAAACACAGATTTTTTTTCTGGAGCACAAAGAAACAGCCACATCAATAAAGGTATTCATTCTGTCTTATGCACACACACACCCTCTTAAGTAGAAATGTCAACAGCAGCTATACACCGCTCAGCTTGGGTCTCTTACCTGCTCTCAGGGTTCGGATCGATGCGTTCGCAGACAATGGTGGCAGTGGTCTGTGTCCTCCCGTTGTCTACATCTTGTTGCACTCCCCATTGGCTCGGATCGCTGACTCGGATCTCTATTATCTTCACTCCCGGAGCAGCTTTAATCCTGATGGGGAAAACAATCAGGCAAGGCTTCAGTGCTATACGATGTCCAAAGGAAGGGGGGAAAGTGTATCAAAATCCACAGAGATGCATACCCCATCACTGAATGCACCCAGACATGATGCAGCGGCTTTATTATGCACTTGCGAAAGTGTTTAAGAACACACTTCCATCTCAGAAAAACCAAGGACAAAGTTGATCATTTTGAGATGCAGCTGCAAAGGGCATGCCAAAATCAACCCTGTTATCCATAAACGATAACTGCTGGATAGCTCAGTGGTTGAGGTCCAAAATTCCATAAATGATAACTGCTGGATAGCTCAGTGGTTGAGGTCTCTGGCCGAGGAGCCAGAAGTTGGGGGTTCGATTCCCCCACTGGGCCTTCTTGGTAGGGGCCGAACTCAATGATCCATAGGGCCTCTTCCAGCTCTGCCGCTGGAAGATGATTATTATATAAGACCAGGTGACCTCACAGATGCCCCTTGCCTATGTCTTGTTTTCCTGCTAAGGAGGTTTATGAGTTTATGTTCACATTTCATGACCAACAGTACAAACACTTTGTGTTGGGGCCGAACTCAACGATCCATAGGGCCTCTTCCAGCTATGCCGCTGGAAGATGATTATTATATAAGACCAGGTGACCTCACAGATGCCCCTTGCCTATGTCTTGTTTTCCTGCTAAGGAGGTTTATGAGTTTATGGTCACATTTCGTGACCAACAGTACAAACACTTTGTGTTACAAAGGTAAAGGTAGCAGTTTGTGTTACAGTTTTATTTGGTTTATCTTCATTAGGGATACCTGAGGACTAGCTCCTCAATCTGGCCAATTCCTCCCCAAGACCTTGCTTGGCTCGCCTATTTTCCATACACCATCCTTCTGAGCTGGGCTTTACCATGCTTTACAGGTGGCCCATCCATAGGCTCTTACATAGAACTACATAGATTTCTTTATTATTAATAGGACTTTGCAGAAAAGTTGCGCGAATTCAATAAAACAGACACGCTTTGAAGTATCTTTGGTCGGGACCTCCCGGGTTATTACAAAGTCCCGAACGCCGTCCTGCCTAACTGTTCGACTCTGATAAATGCTGACATCCCCATCTGCTAAAGCCAACTGCCACATAGAGAGCCAGGAGGCAACACAACCCATTTCATCCTCGTCCAAGGACGCTCGCCGATGCTATTTTTACCCAACTGGCCATCTGAAGAGATTTTGCTGACGAGACTCCTCTGCTTAGCTTGCCGTTCGCTTCTGCTCTTTAGGGGTGCCACCTCCGAGCAGAGTTCCTCCTGGGTTTTCAGCAGAGCTGATGGTCTGATTTCACATAGATTTCACACGCTGTCTTACCAGGTTAGGGTCAGGTGAGCATTCAATGCCCTGCCCATCTCTACCTGGGGATGACATCTCCATCTTCCTGGATGGCCGCCAGGCTCTCAGCCTGCATCTGAGACCTTATCATGCAAGGATGCTACGTTTACATTCAACTTGATATCTACTCACAGGTAAAAGCTGCTGGTAGGGCAGTAAAGATTGGTGAGGCTTGCAAGCAGCCACCTTAGCAATCCATGTAGAATGCTGTAGTTCCTCTCCGCATGGGATGACATCTCCATCTTCCTGGATGGCCGCCAGGCTCTCAGCCTGCATCTGAGACCTTATCATGCAAGGATGCTACGTTTACATTCAACTTGATATCTACTCACAGGTAAAAGCTGCTGGTAGGGCAGTAAAGATTGGTGAGGCTTGCAAGCAGCCACCTTAGCAATCCATGTAGAATGCTGTAGTTCCTCTCCGCTGCATTAAAAACACCAGGAAAAGCCCATCTCTTGTATAAATCAAACCAAAAGCAGGATTATGGAATAATCGGTTAAGAACAGCAATCAATTATGAGCAGCAGAGGCTAACAATTAAACAGCATCATGAGAAGAAGAGATAAACACACATAAAAGCAGGATAGCCTCACACCAGCACACAAGCAGAATAGGAAACAGTATGCCAGCTCTTGAATCATCCCTACCAATCTTGATGTCCTTGCTGGACTATGAGTCCCATCATCCTGCTGGCATGGAAGAGGAGAGTGATGGGCGTTGCCATCCAGTGTGGACAAACGAGAGGGAAGGCTGCCTCAGATCTTTTCCTGGTCATGGTAGCTCATAATAGGAGTCCAGGTTGGCAAACACTTACGATAGATGAGATGATGGGTTTTTCTACTAGATTTCCTTCTTCGGAAGATAACAACACTGTGGTTGGGGGGAACTCTGTGGGGAAAGCGTTCCATAAGTGGGGCAGGAGAGTAATGCTGTCACCGAAAGACTTATTCAGCTGTTTATCGCAACATGCAAGGGGACTCGGGAGTCGAACTGCTGAGGATAATCTCATTGCAGGACGCACCGCAGGAAGGAAGCCATGGTTTCCAACGGAAGCTGGTGACTCAGGTTCCTCCTTCAGAGGTAATGGGGTGGAGGCCACAAGCAGGACTGGAAAGGCTGAAATTTGATGAGGTGGTAGTGAATTCTCTCCTGGGTTTTAGTCCGAACTGACAGGAGCTACTGGAGGTGCAGGACCTGAATCCTGAAATGGTTTCAGCACTCTGGACAGTTCCTGGAATGTTCTCATTACAGCGCCCATATCACACATCATTCCTCCTGGTGCTTTTTAGGTTTTCTTATCTTCTCCCTGCTGCTATTTTTATTCTTATGTCACCTTTGGTTTTTTTTTTAATATCACCTTTTCTCGATGGCAGGGCTCGACATGCACATGAGCATGTCCGTGATGCCGGGATAACAGCCGAAATGAAATCAGCTGTTAGAAAACTACGCTCCGTACAAACAGCACAGCTTCGGCAAACATAAGGAGAAAAGGAGACAACGGGACGCGTGTCGGGAAGACCAAGAAAGAGAGATGCTCTTAAGCCAAAGGCAAACACGGAGAGGGAGAGAATTCATCAGCTTTTGTCGCCAACGTTCCTGTACAGGCATCACCATTCTGAAAGTCACTCTCACAGGCCTTGAGGGGGTGACTCTGTACATGCTCAGGGAATATCACAGCAAGGAAATCCCAGTAAAATTCGGAGTTGGCTTGGCATGCAACAAATAATTTCTATGGAAACTTCTTAACTTCAGGCAATTCACCTCCAATGGCAACACCTTTTGTGTAACTAAGCAAGAGGATTTTGGAGTTCCTATCACTTCTCTCTGTTTCTTGACAATGAAACTAATTATGAGTTTTTAATTCCTGAATGAGAACCGCGAGGCAGGGGGTGAGATGAGATTGGAACCCCAGCAAGACGAGGCAAAGAGCTTTGGACAGCCATTCCCAGAAAACCCCAGTGAGCATGGCCGGTAGTAAAACTCCTGGGCTTTGCTTTGCCCTGCTGACACTGAGAAATAATCTCATGTGAGCAGAAGAACATTGATCTGGAAACATATTCTCATTAGCCCTTTGGGAAACTCAACAGCATGTGGACACTTTTCAACAAGAGCATCATTATTTTCAGAACAGGTGTCACTGCACACAAGCTGCTCCCTGTACAGCGTGGAGATGTAAATCTCCGGTTATTCCTTTCTCTCCAGTGAAAAGTATTTTTCCCAAAAATCATTTTTCCCCACCCATTGTAGAGGATTACAGAAATTCTCAGGCATTCCTCCCACAGAGACAAAGCACAATTTACAGAGGTGATTTTTCCTGCTGTTCTGTGCTGCCGAGTCAACCCCAACTAGTGGCAATCCTGTGAATGAGCCATCTCTAAAACATCCTGACCTCAACTGCCCTGCTCAACTCTTGTAAACTCAACCCTGTGGCTTCCTTTAAGGAGTCTGTCCATTTCACATTTGGCCTTCCTCTTTTCCTGCTGCCGTCAGCCTTTCCCAACATTATTGTCTTCTTCAGAGAATCCTTGCCTTCTCATGATGGGCCCAAAGTAGGGCAGTTTCAGCATTTTTGCCTCCAGAGATAGTTCAGGCTTGATTTGATCAGAAACCCACTGGTTTATCTTTCTGGCAGTCTTTCTCTTCACAAAGCTCTCCTCCAGCACCACATGTCAAACAAATCAATGTTGTTCCTGCCAGGACATTTCCTACACACACAAAGACACCACATTTTGTATTGGAAAGCTGGCGTTTTTCACAGACAACCTGCCTTGTGGAGAAAACAAATGTTTCTTGGAAGATTTTTTGCACAGCAATAGCTTTTTCACTGAGGAGAAAGTGCTCTTTTTTACTTTCATGAAAAAGCAAAAAAAAAATCTCACAATGGTTAGTCATTTTTTTCAGTGGCATCTTTTTTCTCAAGAACAAGAAGACCAGAACGGTCATTACCTGCTTGCTGTGGTAATTACAATGTGTCATTAAGCATCTATCTTGGTTGAAGAGTTCTTTTTCCTGTACCACATCTCCATATTTTAATAATTATAAGCCCACAGAAAAGAGAATGGGGAAGAGAGAAAACTGAAGATGTTTCCTACGAGGGTCGTGGAATGGTGTAGATGACCTTCACAGCCCCTTCCAGCTCTAGAATTCTACAGTCGCACAATGCACAGCAGCAACATTGAAACAACACACACAGGCCAGACAAGAACATCACCCTGTTTTATTTTGCTTCATTTTAACTCAGAGGAACAACAACAACCAAATCTCATTGCAGGAATCCCCTAAGGAGTTCTTCAAAAGAATCGGAGGTATGGAAATTACCAGGCTGTGCCGTGCTCAAAAACACGCATTTTCCCCTCTCTGGAAGAGCAACGCGACATGGGGAAAAAACCTCAAAAACCCTTGCCCCTAATACAAGAGCAATGACCCTTTATAATATATTCAGAGAGGTGTTCTGTGAACATCGACCTCGTGGTTGGATACGGTGTCCCTCCTGGGACTGGAACATTTCATCTTCCCAGTTTTACAGGGCCTCTGCCTTCCCTCCATCACGCTCTCCTCTGAGTCCTAATTCTTCCCTATCCCTGTTAGTCGTTGGGATAAAATGGCTCTGCCTTCTCCCTAATGTCCGCACAGGA